GGGGTCCTGCAGGGATCGGTCCTTGGACCGGTGTTATTTAATATCTTCATCAGCGATTTGGACGAGGTTGTGGAGAGCACCCTTTCCAAGTTCACAGATGATACCAAGTTATGGGGCAAAGTTAATACACCGGAGGGCAGGGAGCAGATACAGACCAACCTGGACAGGTTGGATCAATAGGCAGAGTGGAATAGGACGCAGTTCAACAAAGATAAATGTAAGGTACTCCACTTAGGAAGGAGGAATTCCCAGCACACCTATAGGTTGGGGGATGACCTCTTCAGCAGCTCAGAGGCTGAGAGAGATCTTGGAGTCAGAGTTGACTCCAAGATGAACATGAGCTGGGAGTGCAATGAGGCCATCAACAAAGCCAATCGCACCTTGTGTATTAGCAGATGCATGACCAACAGATCAAGGGAAGTGATGTTCCCCCTCTATGTGGCATTAGTCAGGCTGCAGTTGGAGTACCGTGTCCAGTTTTGGGCACCGCACTTCAAGAGGGACATGGAGAATCTGGAGAGGGTCCAGAGGAGGGCCACTCGCATGATTAGTGGCCTCCGTGAAAAACCCTACAAGGGGAGGTTGAGAGATCTGGATCTCTTCAGCCTTCACAAGAGACGGCTGAAGGGAGACCTTGCAACTGCTTACAAGTTTATCAAGGGAGGACAACAGGGAATTGGTGATGTGCTATTTACCAGAGCACCCCAGGGAATAACTAGGAACAATGGGTGCAAACTAGTGGAGAGTAGGTTTAGGCTAGACATTAGGAAGAAATTTTTTACAATAAGGGTGGCCAGAATCTGGAATGGGCTTCCAAGAAAGGTGGTACTATCACCTAACTTGGAGGTCTTCAAGAGGAGGCTTGATAGTCACCTGGCTGGGGACATCTGACTTCGGTCCTCTTTCCTGCCAGGGGCAGGGGGTCGGACATGATGATCCATTGTGGTCCCTTCCGACTGTACAATCTACGTATCTATGAACTCCACTAAACTGGGATTGAACCAGGGAAGAGCATTAACCTGGATACCTCACAGGTGTGTAAAATGGGATGAGGCAGACACGGTTCTTTGGGTAAATCTGATCTCTTTTATTAGACCAAGTCAAATAGCTGAAAAAATTCTTCTTAGCAAGCTTTCAAGTATAAGCCTCCTTCATCATGCTGAGGAAGCATCTGCAGTTAGTGTGCACTTTTCCTGGATGGACTTGGCCTAATAAAAGATACAGGCAGTCCTCTGACTTACAACACAATTGGTTCCTGAAAACAGTGTCTTAAGTCAAAACATCGTAACTTGGACCAACCGATTTTTCCCATAGGAACAATGTTATAAATGGGGGATTGGTTCCTGAACCAAGGCCCGATACTCTATTTCTACCAAAAATAACCCAGAATTTTGTATTCAGCCAAATACAGATGAGTAATATACCTACATGAATGTATTTATATTATAAATAGCCATCATATTGATTTGGAAGGACTTTTTGAGGTGACTTCGCTGGACTTTTTTAGGGCTCTTGGCTGGAGTCTGCTCAGCAATCCTGTCTGTAGGTTTCTCTGGAGTCTTGCGTGCCTTCTCCAAAAAAGCATCCAAGGAAGTTTGGGCAGATGTTCTCCAGGGAGATGGGCGATGCAGCAAACTTGCTCACTGGTGTGGTGCTGGATAAAGCATTGTTGTAAAGTTGAAACTGAGGGCAGAAAGTTGAAACAGACACCATAAAGTCGAGACTGAGGGCACGAAGTCAAAACTGACAGGGGATCAAGCATCATAAAGTCGAAACTGATGCCAGAAAGCTGAAACAGGACATCAATTTATAAACGTCATAAGCGCTCTTCGTTGTAACTCGAAACATCTTAACGGGGAGACCCCCCCGTATCGGATTTACCCAAAGAAGCTCGTCCGCCTATAAAGGGGGGTGGTAGGTTTGTAGGCCTGAGCAAGGCCCGCAGGCACCCAGAACCAAGGACTCGGCCCCGAGATCAACCTGCCCCGCGCCCCCCTCCGTGGGGCGGCCCAGCAGAGCGAGTGGGCGTGGTCACCAGGGGGCGGGTCCCACCGTGCCG